CATTACCTATATTGACTCCTTCTTATTTTATCTTCCATATCTCTTACTGCTCCTTAACACTTTTTTCCTCTTTGTCTTTCTGTGCTACATTCTGTGTAAATTTGTGGCCTTTATCTTCCACTTGACTAATGCTCTCTCAACTATCTAATGTAATGTTTGACCCACCTCTAAGAAAAACCACATCTTACAGTAAGGTCTTCTTGAAACATGCTCTAACAGAAACTAAAATAAAGATGTAACATTTGCATGGGTGAAAGAACTTGGAATTTGAGTCCTACCACATTAGAGAGGCTTGATAAATACTTTGAACACCCAAATATCTACCCTAACAAAGCGTAAGATAAAGCCTATACAAGCTCAAAATGACCAGTTCAAAACTAAACTGCCTATAAGAACAAAGAATACACTCAAAGGAGAGGGACAGAAGAAAATTTAGTCTTGCTAACAAAAAATGTCCAGTATAAAATTGAAAAATTATTGGACAGCAATAGCCAAACTGTGGAAAGAGCCGAGATGCCCTTCAACAGATGAATGGATAAAGAAGATGTGGTCCATATATACAATGGAATATGACTCAGCCATCAGAAAAGATGAATACCCAACTTTTACATCAACATGGATGGGACTGGAGGAGATTATGCTAAGTGAAATAAGTCAAGCAGAGAAAGTCAATTATCATATGGTTTCACTTACTGTGGAACATAAGGAATAGCATGGAGGACATTAGGAGAAGGAAAGGAAAAATGGAGGGGGGGGAATTGGAGGGAGAGATGAACCATGAGAGACTATGGACTCTGACAAACAAACAGGGTTTTAGAGGGGAGGGGGGTGGGGGGTTGGGTTAGCCCGGTGATGGGTATTAAGGAGGGCACATACTGCATGGAGCACTGGGTGTTATACGATGGATCGTGGATCACTACATCAAAAACTAACGATGTATTGTATGGTGACTAACATAACGTAATAAAATTAAAAACTACAAAAAAAGAAAAATTACTGGACATGCACAGAAATATAGTTAAGAAAAAAAAAAAAAGCAGTCAACAGAAATAGATCCTGAGATGGCCCTGTGGTTTTACAACAGCAGTTCTAAATATAATAAAGGAACATATGCACATAATGAGTGAACAGATGGGGGGAAACTAAGCTGAAAGGTGGAAATTATGAAAAAGAACCAAATGGGAATTCTATAAGTGAAAAACATAGTAGATAAAAATTTAAAATTTACCAGAAGGGCTTAAAAGATTGAAGATGACAAAAGGTAGTGCTAGTGAACTTGAAAACAGGTAATAGAGGGACGCCTGGGTAGCTCAGTGGGTTAAACGTCTGCCTTCAGCTCAGGTCATGATCCCAGGGTCCTAGGATCGAGTCCCGCGTCAGGCTCCATGCTCAGCGAGGAGCCTGCTTCTCCCTCTGCCTGATGCTCCCCCTGCTCATGCTCTGGTGTGCTCTCTCTCTCTGACAAATACATAAATAAATAAATCTTTAAAAAAAAAAAAAGAAAGAAAAGAAAACAGATAATAGAGGTTAGCCAATCTGACAAATAGAAAAAAAATACTGAAGAAAATTGGACAGAGCTTCAGTGAACTGTGGGATAATCAAATGGTCTAACATATGTATAACTGGAGACCCAAAGGGAGAAGAAACTGAGAAAAGGGTTGAAAAGTATTTAAAGATATGACAAAGTTGCCAAATTTAATTAAAAATATTGGCTTATGGAATAGAGAATCTTAACAAGCCTCAAACTGCATAAATACCAAACAATAACATCAACACAATAACAAACTATCAATGTCATACTGCTGAAAACTGAAGAGAAAGCAAAACCTCCAAAACAGTGAGAGAACAAAGAAGCATTATATACAGGGGACAACAGTCTACATTAAAGCTGACTTCTCAATGAAATAATGGAGGCCAAAATAAAATGGAAGCACAACTTTCAAGTGCTAAAGGAAAATCTGTGAACTCAATTCAGTATCCAGCAAAAATAATCTTCACAAACGAAGGCAAAATAAAGACTATTCCAAATAAACCAATACAGGATTTGTTGCCTGCAAATCCACACTAAACATGCTAAAGAATGTTTTTATAGCTATAGGAAATTAAGACCAGATGGAAACTCAGATCTATAGAAAAGAATAAAGAGCACTAGAAATGGCAAATATATGACTTATTTTTTTCTCCTCATAATTTCCCAATGATACAACTGACTCTTTAGATGTAATGCTGTAAGATGGGGGTTCATGATGTATATAAAAGTTAAAGCTATGACACATACCAAGAAAATGAGGCTTCCTGTCTCCTCACAAGGCACATTAGTGAAGTTCCATTTTTTTTTGTTTCATGCACTGAAAACCATGATCTTGACCAACCTTAATAGGGCAAGTCACTTGCCCATGATCACATAGCCAATTGGGACCAAATACCCCAAGCCAAACCTGTTGACTCAGAATACCAAAGTGCAGGTGGGGCAGAGAAAAGGTTTTTATTGGATACCTCTGACATTCAACACACAATTTCTTGGGCATCCTTGGGCACACAGTCTGGCGCTCATTTAAGATTAGGCCAATCGAAAGAAGCGCGTGAATAGAGAAAGACTGTGTAAGCTTGAAAAAGCAAGCCCAGTGGGACGAGGGGTGGTTTCCCAGCAGAGAAAGAACACAAAGTATGCTAGAAACCCCTCTCGGGTAAAGATGAAAGTCTGGAAGAAAGGCAAGGCCAGGCAGTCTAAACTAGTGACCTAGAAAGCCATGGAAACAGCTTCTTCCCTAGTACCTCATTGTCATCTCCTAATTCCTGACCTGCTGACCAACTGCACTCAGTACCCTCTGACCTACACAGGGGCCCAGCAGATGTTGTGGCCCTTCCTGGACAGCTCCAGCGAGTGATGAGTTCTGGTTTGCAAAAATGGGATTCCCGCGCAGACAGAAAGAAAACAACATAACTATAAAATACAGGCTTAAGGAGCCATTTCAGACTCAGAGCTAAACTGGGTGAGTGAACTCTCAGCAGCAGAAAAGGGATGAGTAAAGGAAAGGAACCTCAGATCAGCAAAGCAGCACATTATGTCTACTTCTTGCTGGGTAGATGAAAAAGTCTTCCCTGCCTGAAGCAAGAGAGTATCTAGGAATAGAATCCAGCCTGGGGAAAAATGCCTGAAGTGTAGTAAACACCCACCCTCCCACACTCCACCATCTACCTATTCTCAACTGTACAAAAAAGCGGACTTTCCTTGGAGGGATGTTGGAAAAGCACATCTTTGTAGTGAGGTCCAATCCTGAGGCAAAGGTCAGCTATGCCTGGCAGCTGCATGAGAAGTTTAAACCAGGTCAGATTTGAAGCTGTAAGAGAAGCCATCAGTACCCAGTGAGACCAAGTTGCTATAGTTCCCCACCATCGCCTGTCTGTAGAGGACTTGTGCAGGACTCCATAGCCTCCACACCTCCTAGGTGAAAGCCACAGCCACACCCCTAAACACTACGAAATCCTGTTATACCAAATAGTCCTCCTCACTCTGTTGTCAGACTTGCCTATGATTCAAAGTGAAGAAGCAAGAAAGCTGCCCTGAGAAAGGCAGGGAAAATGTCTTGATACCGTTTTTCACTATAACACTGTTGTGGGGATTCCAAGACTCTGGTCTCTATCCAACCAACATCATTTGTCTACTGTCTAGGTACTGGTCTGGCTACCATGGGGTTTCCAAGCAAAGCAAAAATAGAATTCCTAAACTTGAAGTGCTTTAAACTTAAGAGAACTATACATGAAAATAAAACATAAATATAGAATCATAGTCAGATCTGAGTTTTAGGAATTTGGAGATTACTTGATCTAATGGTATTAGATTGAAAGATCTGAGCCCCTAGATTCCATTCTTGCTGCCTAGTGTGGTCTGAGTCAACATCATCTGGAAGCTTGTTAGAACTGCTGATGATTGAGCTCCACCCCAGTCATGCTGATTCATAATTTGCATGTTTACAAGACTCCAGGTGATAGGATGGACATTCACACCTGTGTTAAATGATCTACCCAGGTATGTGGGTTCAGCAACAGCAACAACTAATCAAGAATGAAACTTTCTTTCCAAAACAGAATCTGTCCTCTACATTATCAGATGACACTTTCCCTTCGAGTGAAAGCAGCTTTATTTACAAACAATGGATGCCAGGGGTTCAGGAAAAAGAGTTGGGAATTTGGTCTTGAAGGATCTGCAAGATTTAGAAGTCAAGGAAGAGGAAGCAAGGTATTCCAGATGAGGTAAGAAGTGGGATAGAGTGGGAGGGAAGTATCGTAGGGGAAAAGGAGATAGAGAAGAGAGGCCAGGAGTCTTTTTAGAAAGCAAGGAACCCTCAGAATGCCTGGGTGGCTTAGTTGGTTAAGCATCTGCCTTTGGCTCAGGTCATGTTCTCAGGGTCCTAGGATCGAGTCCTGCATTGGGCTCCTTGCTCAGCGGGGAGCCTGCTTCTTCCTCTGCCTGCCGTTACCCCTGCTTGTGCTCTCTCTGACAAATAAAATCTTAAAAAAAAAAAAAAAAGGCAGGCAATCCAGATTTTTAGATGGAAACTCTTAGTTATTAAATGCTAAGAACTCTCAAATATGAACCATAAGGCTGGCCAAACTAAACCTCTGTATGGCACATGTGAACAGCCACACGGCATCCTTGCCTACATGCACGGAAAATCAGCCAGACACAAGACCATTTTTCTTTTGAAAACCTCCCTCACTAAGGCCAGGCAAGTTTACCCAGTGACTATGCCTCTGAGGCTCTGACCTCACTTCCTGCTCTCTTCCCACTGGCCGGTCCTTCTCCAACTCTTCCTCTCACCTACTCCCCTCAGGGAAGCTCAGGCAGTCTCTTATCCTGGAAGTCTTCCTTGTTTTCTCATCTCCAAGGCCCCTGGGATCCCAGCCATCTCCACCCTTGGCGTACAGCAAGCATCACTGGACCCTTACACATAGACTGTGTAACCCTTGCATTGTTACTTTGAACCTCCATGGGTGTTAACAGCTAATTTCTTGGTGAATAAGTCATGGATGGGGCAGAGAGGAACTGTCAATAGAGGGCTCCAAGTAAGACTAGGCACTTCTCCAGAGCCAGGGATGAACTGAATTCACTATGAACAAAGCAGCAGGGCAAGTGAAGGGGATGGATTCATTTTCCAAAAGCTAAGAAGGAATTCTTGTAAATCCTTTTTTTCTCCCTACTTCAGGCCACGTGGACGTCCTAGAGAAGAACGAAATTTCTGAAAGCCTATCTGAGGAAGGTAAAGAGAAGTGAGAGGGTGGCCGGGTGTAAATACCCTCCCACGACTTCAGTGGGACTTGTTCTCCAGCTTCTAGACTGGGGTGTTCCTGACGCGCGCCGACGCAACCCTGTTCTCAACCACAGCCCGGAACAAAGACCCAAAGAGCTAAGCCGACAGCGGCCTCTACCCCGAGCTACGGTCTAAGAGTGAGGTTCCTGTCCCCCAGGAGACAAATGAGAGTTTGCCAAAACTCTGGGGACTCCAACAGAGGAAAAAGGTCTCAGGGACCCCGCAGTGGATATTTCGGGTTGAGGGCGTGTGCTCAGAATCCGGGTCTACCTCGCACCAGATGGGAGACCTCAGGAAGACTGCTCGGCATCTCTCAGCTTCGCTCCCTCCATGGGCCTCAACGGAGTTAAAAGGGCACGTGAGCTGGACGAGACCACGCCTGCCGGTCGCTCACGGAACACGGGACGAAGGTGTGCCACACTGCAGCTGGAGAACCCCGACCTCACCGCCCCACTGCCGCTGACCCTTGCCAATCCCAGAAGCCAAACCGAACCTCCTCTTGATGCGTCATTTCCGCCGGTCGGGAGGCGGGCCGGCACCGGATGCGGAAGTCACTGCAGGACTACACTGGGGAGTGTAGTCTTTGAGGCGGAAGCGTTAGAGAAGCGGTCACGGCAGGGCGAGAAGCTTCACCCGGGACCCTGTACATGTTTTGTAAACGTGATCTTAAGAAAAAAAATACCGGGGATCCAGGTGCCACGGTGGTCATTCTCTAATGACCAGGGCACGTTACCCAGAAACGGCTCCCTGGGAGGCCAATGGGAGCTGTGGGCAGCCAGTGCCCGTCTGGTTGCGCGGAGCATCCTGGGAGGTGTGGTCCCGGCGCCACGCCGAGGATGCTGGATAGTGTAGTCCCGGCACCCTACAGAAGTAGGTCCCCAGCTGGTGGCTGGAGTGACCCCTTGTTCTTTGGTGGCGCTGGTGAGTGAGGCTCCCGCGGGACTCTTGCAGCAACTGTGCCCTTCCTGGCGCAGCAAGGTAGTTCTTAAAGGCTGGTCTATGGGCTGAGGCTGGGGACGGTGCAGATGGCGGGGAGAGGAGGTAGTGGTGGGGACACGCTGTCGTGGCTCAGGCCGTGCTCTCCCGGATGTCTTATTTTGGGGGGTGTGGGCGCGCATCTCCGAGGAACGTGGGTGAAGCTCAGCCGCAAAGCCCAGTGGTGGTGGGTGCTGGCCTTGGGCCTTTCGTCCAGAGGTTCCTGCGGGTGGGGACAGGTTCGGCCTTGGCCGAAATCGCGATGTTGAGAGAGGGGGTCGCTCATGTCACAACTCCCCGGGTTTGCGGGGAGTTCAGTAAGTAGGCTTTTGGGGGCTGATATTTCCTAGGTGGTGGTGTGGGAGCCGTCCCTGGGGACGTGTGTCCGGAATTTCGGTGGGTGGATGTAGATCGTCCTTTTTTTGGGTCCAGCTACCCCTCAGTTTTGCCGAGGCGGGGCGACAGGCAGGCTGGCTTGGCCAGACGTGCCCGAGTTGCACTGGGTGTGGAGTGGCCATTTTGGCGCGATCCTAGGCTCTCAATTTGGCTGGTCGCCCCAGGGTTCCGGCTTTGGAGGAAGAGGTCGGGTTAGGGTGCGCTAGGCAAGTTTTTCAAAGGTCCCGAGGATCCTCGCTGACTACAGGAATCACAGATTCCCACATCTGGTGTGAACAGGCTTTGGAATTTGAAGGTCCATTTTAACTTTTTATGATGGAGAAATTTCAAACAGAAGTAGATAGAATTCCATAGACCCATTACTCAAATTCAGTGCTTATCACCTTATGACCAATTTTGATTCTTCTCATAATGCATACACTGAGAATCCTTACAACCCACAGAGATTAGCAATCACTGCCCTTACTGGTTAAGAATATGGCCTCTACAGCCAGATCTCATCCAGGCTCAGTCATTTCATAGCTGCGCCATCTTGGGCAAGAGACTGACTTCTCTGTGTCTCAATTTTCTCATCTGTAAAATGAAGATAAGAAATTGTACTTTATTGGGTGAGGAGAATCGGTGAAACTCCTACAGTGCCTGGAACAGTCACTGGTATATACTCAGTGCCCAATAAGTACTATTCTTATTAAGAACAAAGGTGAGGGAGGATCAGCTCAGCTCATGCTCAGTGTCAGCAGCATGTCAGGGCAGGCTGTGTTCCCAGCAAGCTTCCCACAGTCTTTTCTTCAGTGATAGGTCCATTCCTTTAAGGAGGAGGAGGCCCTACCCTACTGGAGCTGAGGGTTTCCAGTTACTCTTCTGAACCTTTTTTGTTCTTGATCTGCCCCCTGCAGCCCCTGCCTGCCCAGAGAGATCTGCCTGGTAGGCAAAGAGAGGACTCCCAGGCTCCTGACAGTCCAGCTTCAGGTGGGGACCCCTTCCCATTTGCATGCCGAACCTCGGTGGGTTTCCTTTGCTCAACTTTGACATCTTGTGCCCTACAGTGTCCCATTCCCAGGAAAACAAGATGACAGTTTTCACAGGGACTATTCTTCAGACCTTGTGTCCTCATTCGTGACCCCTTTGATTTCTCCATGCCTCTCTGCTTCATTATAAACTCTGTTGATTGAACTCAGATGCAATCCCACTGGAGAGCATTCCTGGATTTCCCCCAGGGAATACATCTGGTGTGTCCTTGTCAGCAGCAGAACACGCGACACTATCAGGACTCTTGGGCTCTCAGGCTGCATTGTGACTATCCAGCTGTCCCACTGGATTGGGTACCTCATCCTTCTCCTCTTGAGTCACTGGCACCTGGTTAGGCTAAGCGGGTGATGTAGTTTGAAGACTCGCGTTGTCATCCTTGCTGGCTGGAAGGGACGTTCACGCCTGCCGGGCGGGGCCGGGGGGAGGGATGTTATTGGAAAGGCGTGGGTTGGTCATTGTTGGAATGAGCCCTAAATGACAAGTTAGTGAGTGTGGCCTTGATCTGAGGGCAGCGGGGAGCAAAGCAGTGACATGATTTCCCCCTCCAGCTATGGCTGTATGTCTTTCCTTTCTGTTAGAGCTAAACTTGAAAGAATTGTCCCTGCTGCTATCTCCATGTCTATCCTTCCTTCATCTCTTAAATATTCCAATGAGGCCTATTCACCTCTACCCACTAAAAAACACTCTCAACGAGGTTGTGCATCCTGTGGCTAATGGCCACAGTCAGTTCTCAGCAACATTTTACATTGTTGTATCGTACTTCCTTCTTAAAATATCCTTTCACATCGTGGCTCCTGGTTTCCAGGTTTTCCTCTTACCTCATAGGCTGCTCCTCCTGTCCCTCTTCCCAGCTTTTCTTCTCCCAAACCCCCACTGTTCTTGGACTTCTCATCTTCTCCAGCCACACTGTCTCCATGGTGGCCCCATCTCCTCTCAAGGCCTTAAATGCCATCTCTCTGAGGTTCAGCCTAGGCCTGTGCCTTTCAGCCCAGATTCCAGTCTCCTGCTGTCTACTTCAAATTTCCTCTTGGATATGTCCTCGGCATCCCAAACCTAATGTGTCCAACAACAAACTCTGATCGCCTCCCCCAAACATGCTCCACCCCAAGAGAGTATAGACCACTCTTTCAGGGAGTTTAGCTCTAATAGGGAGCAGAGACATGACATCTCCTTCCTTCAGATTGCTCAGTGTCAAAACCTTGGCCTTTTTATACTCCATCCCTACTAAGCAAATCTGGACTCACACACAATCTCCAACCTCTGCTGCTTCCACCGTGGCCCAAACCACCACTATTTCACCTGGCTTACCTGGATAATCATAGCTCTTGAATGATCTCTTTGCATCTTCCCTCATCCCCCTAAAGTATATTAGTAAGTACAGCAACCAGAGGGGTCTTTTCAAATGTCAGTCAAATCATGTCATGCATTTGCTCAAAACCTTCTAGTGGCTTTTTATCTCAGTCAAAGTCAGAATCAGTATCCTACAAAGTGGGGTATGATCTCCCCCCATGTTTACACTCGAACTTTCTCTTTCCTACTCAGTCTCAAGCACAGCACACCAGCCACAGTGAACTCTGTACTTTGACCATGCACTGGCTCTTGCCTGCGATGCTCAGCATACCGGCCCCAGTGAACTGGCTCTTTTCAGACCTACCCACTTGGCTCACTCCTTCACATGCTTTAGTTGTTTACTCCGTCACCTTTTCAGAGGGACCATGCCTAACCACTATTTAAAATTCCAAGCCCCTCCCATTAAATAAATAAATAAATAAATAAAATTCCAAAACCCCACCCTGCTTCTGTTACTTTTCTCCTTCCCTGCTATATTGGTCTTCATCTCAGTCATCACTTCCTGATGTACTGTGTGTTTTACTCATTAATTTAGAATGCCCATCTTCCTCCTCTGGACTTTTGTGTCAATGAGGGCAGATGTTTTTTGTCTTTGTTCACTTTTATATCCCCAGTGTCTAAAATAGTGCCTATCATACAGTAGAAGCTTAATAAATATCTTACTGAATGAGTGAATGATCCAACCGTATGTACGTAGAGCTGATTCTGGGAGGAATGGATGAGGCTGACTGGAATGCTGGGAGAAGGTCTGCAGACCCTACCAGGAGGGACTATGGCCATTGTCCTCTTCCCCCAGCAGGTAGGGAGCGGGGAGGAATTGAGAGAGTTTTCAGAGGTAGAATCAGTCAGCCTTGGTAATGGGCTTTCTGTGGCAAGTGGGGAAGTTGTCCTGGTGTCTGAGTGAGGCATGTGGGCGAGAGGGAAGGTGCTTCTGTCATTAAGAAAGTTGAGGAGGGAGAAGGCATGGCATGTCTGGAAGGGTTCTGATTATTGATTGCTGCACAACAAACCACCCCAAAACTTAGTGGCTAAGAAGAATCAGCATGTTATAATTTCTCACAATTCTTTGGGTTTACTGGGATCAGCTTTGTGGTTCTGCTCTGTGTGAGTTATAGACCTGGCTGTGGCCACAGTCCCTTGGGGACTTGTTTGGGTTGAAACATCAGAGATGGTTCCTTCATATATTTGGCCCTTTCTGGGTTGGCTAGAAGGCTGGGGTCAGCTGGGACAGCTGGGCCTCACTCTCCCCATGTAGTATCAGGGCCTCTCTCTCTGCATGGTCTGTCCGGCAGAGGAGTTGAACTTCTTACATGGTATTTGGGCCTCTGTAGAGCATAAGCTCTTTAGCCTTCTTAAGACATAAACCTGTAACTGGCACAGTGTCACTTGGGCCGCATTTACTGGGTAAAGCAGGAACAAGGCCAACCCGAAGGAGCTCCCAGTGTTTGAAGCTGGAATGATTTGAGAAGCCAAATAGTGATGATATTCTATTATAACCCATGGGATAAGATATGAATCCATACTGATATAAAGAATTGAATAAATTTAAAAAATGGGGGAGAAGGGACAGCACTTGCTTACAGAATAATTAATGAACTTAAAATTAAAAAGGGAAAGAGACCGTCGTCATTTGGTAAATACCACAGTAGTAACTATTGTGGGCACATCCCACAAACGCTTGCTAACATTAGTGAGTGGACATTTGAAGAGAAACAGGGTATTTGTATAATCTCAAAGTATCTCTCCCAAGATACTTATTATAAAACCCCAGCAGACATCGCCTTAACCAAGTGATCAAGATCAAGGTTAATATCATCAGTAATAGACATATCAGTATCATCAACTCCTTGATGCAGTGCACTGAAAAGGACATGACATCACTTCTGAGATAATCTAGCCAAAAATGAACTAACCTCCTTCTGATCATGAAAAAAACATCTGACAAACCCAAAATTGAGGGATATTCTTCAAAAGTGTCGAATTCACGAAAGACAAGAAAAGACAGGAACTGTCACAGATTGGAGGAAATTAAACATACCTGGCAACTAAATACGATATGGGAACTTCATTTGAATCCTGGACCAGAAAAAGGACACTAGTGGAAAAACCAACAAATTTGATTAAGGACTGTGATTTAGTCAATGTCAATTTCCTGGTTTTGATCATTGTACTTTGGTTTTCTAAGATGTTAACATTAGAGAAAGCTGGGTGAAGGTTATATGAGAATTGATATTTTTGCAACTTCTCTGTAAGACTAAAATTAGTTCAAAATAAAAAGTTTTAAAAATCCATCAATCTTATGTTCTTGAGTTTTTTTTTTTTAAAGTAAGGAATGGGTGTTGAGTTTTTTTTTTTTTAAGATTTTATTTATTTATATGACAGAGAGACACAGCGAGAGAGGGAACACAAGCAGGGGGAGCGGGAGAGGGAGAAGCAGGCTTCCCGCAGAGCAGGGAGCCCGATGCGGGGCTCGATCCCAGGACCCTGGGACCATGACCTGAGCTGAAGGCAGACGCATAACGACTGAGCCACCCAGGCGCCCCTGGGTGTTGAGTTTTGTTAAAGAATATTTCAGCGTGCATAAAAACACTTGGTTTTTCTCCTTAGATATGTTGATTAATATGGTATATTATAGTAATGGATTTCCTAATACTGCACCAATCTTGGATTTCTGGGAATCCCACTTTGTCTTGGCGAAATATTTTCTTATTGTCATGTTGGAGTCTCTTAGCTGATATTTCTAGAATTTTGCTTCAATATTCATAAGTGATAATGGTCTTTAATTTTCAGTTTTTTGAACTGCCATCAAGTTTAAGTGTCAACATTAGAGTTGCTTTATAAAAAGAATAAGGAAGTTCCCTTCATTTTTCAGTGCTCTGGGACAGTGTTTTGAGCATTGGGACTATCTCGTTTGAAAGGTTGGTAAAAATCCCTTGTGACCATCTAGCGTCAGTTACATTTCCTTAGAAGTTATGCATTTCATCTAGGTATACAAATTTTTTTATAGAGGTCTGAAAAATACTCTTATATGACTTTTTAAAAATGTGTTTTGGTGATTCAGTAGTTATTTCCCCTATGTTATTTCTTACTTTCAATATTTATGCTTTCTCTTTTCTTAAGCTAGCCATGTTTCACTAATTTTTTAATAGGAATTAAGATTTCGGGGCGCCTGGGTGGCTCAGTTGGTTAAGCGGCTGCCTTCGGCTCAGGTCATGATCCCAGGGTCCTTGCTCAGCAGGGAGCCTGCTTCTCCCCTGCCTGCCATTCCCCCTGCTTGTGCTTGCTCTCTGTCTCTGTCTCTCTCTCTGGTTCTGTCTGTGTCAAATAAATAAATAAAAGCTTAAAAAAAAAAAGAAATTAAGATTTCACTTATTACACTTTTTTCTGTTCATTAATTTCTGTTCTTATCTTTATTAAAATATTTAAAGCTGTACATTTCCCTTGCTCACTGTTTTAAATGAATCCCACACATCCACAGGGTTTTCATTATTATTTTTAGAAATTCTGTGACTTCATTTGTGTTTTCCCTCCAACTCCCACCTAATGCAACATTCAGTAAACCTTTTCTACTTTCCCCTTCCCTTGTCTCT